TGTGCATGTGCCAGTATAAGAATGCCAGAGATCTCTTGTAGAAGTTTAGGATGATCAATTGCAAACCAATATTGACACCAAATGAGATTAACTCCAATCTAAGTGTAGATAAAGGCAATGACTTGGAAAATTCAACCATGTATTGACAACTGGTGGGAAACTTAATCTACTCGATGTTAACACGACCTCATATTGGATATGCAGTTAGTATAGCAAGCCACTTTATGGAAAAGCCGAAGATGGAACAATTGATTATAGACTCTTTATAAGAAATTTAAAAATTGCAAGGTTGTCAGTTGCTGTGACGTAGAATATGCTGGATATAAAAATACAAGATGATCGACAATAGGTTATGTGTTTAATCTTAGATCGATTGTAGTATCATGCCACAGTAAGAGACAACTAACATGTCTTTGTCAACATATAGTCAGAAAATAGAGCAGCAGGGATTAGGGCTAGGCAAATCTCCCGAACCGAACCCGACGGTTCTTGTCAAATTAAATACCCGAACGGGTATCTGAATTGAGAACCGACGGATATGGTTTGGTTTTCGGTTCTAGACCAAGAACCGAATAAGAACCAAATCTTTCTAATTTTTTTATATTGAATAAATCAAATTAGTTTAATTTTAATTTTTTCTAAACAAATTAACAAATTAACAATTTCTAAATTCAAATTTTTAGCTCAATAATTTGTTTCATTTCTAATTTTTTAATTTTTGGCCCAATTACCTATTTTATTGTCTCATTTCTTAGCCAAACAAGATCCAACCCACTAAATAACCTAAACACCATCAATAAAGTGCATAACGTTGTCTTGACTCTCATAGTCTCGCTGACATTCCAAAACCTATACAATCATCAACCGACATTGTGACCTCCGATCGAAGCTGTGACCTCTGCCAATCGAAATTTTGACCGTAGCGATTATTTGAATAAGGTAGTCTACTAGTCTCTGACATTTCAAAACCATTGAATGTGTCAGTAGTTGCATTTATATAATATTGTTATAAATGTTTAAAAAATTAATTATAGTACAGAACCGAACGGAACCAAACCTGAACGGTTCCATAATTATATTTGGACCCGACGGTTCCATTTACTAAATACCAGAAAATTTTGGTTCGGTTCGGTTCTAAAGCGGTCGCCCCTAGCAGCGATGGAAGCTCAAGAAATTACATAGCTAACGCTATTGATGAAGGATCTACATCACTAGGTAAGTGATGCAGTGAAATTATATTGTGATAACAAATAAACTATTCGCATAGCAAATAACCCAATGTGCTGCATAGAATCTATGCATGTTGAAATGTAATATCATTTAATCATAGGAAATTTGCTTGAAGGGAAGATCGACTTGAAGTACATCAACACTAAGCCCTTGTTTGAGCGACATTATTGGAATGAAAATGTATTTTTGAATAGTGTATTGATGGGAAATGTGTGGTTAAGAATTAAGGAAAATGTATTTTTGAATAGTGTATTTTCTTGAAGCCTCTAACATCCTCACTGAGACAAATCCAAGCAAGGTCTCCACCAACAATATGAATGAAGAGGAGCTTCAAGCTCATCAAGGAAAGATATAAAAATATTATAGAGATGAGAATAGTTGTCGATGTGATATCTTGAATTGCATAGCAGATAATTTTTATGATTATTACAATACTACTTACTCATCTGCAAAGAAAATATGGAAAGTTTTACAGAATAAATATGATACTGAGAATGTAGTTGCATAGAAATATACTGCTAATATTTTCTTTCGCTATCAAATGGTGGATGGAAAATCTATGGCAAAACAAGTACAAGATTTTCAAATGATCGTTGCAGGGTTAAATCTGAAGGCATCAAAATTGGGGACAACCTTATTGTTGCTGCAATCATTGACGAATTACCACCATCACAGAGAGTGTTCTAAATTCAATAAGCCACATGCAGAAAGAAAGGTCCCTGGAGACCTTGATCTAAAAATTAATGTAGAATTAAACAATTGATTTATGTCAACAAAAATAGTGTCATTTGTGTATAACATAGTGAAGCCTCCTCCATAACTTTTTAGAGGCTTGTTATTGTGACAAAGCCTGTCACGATTTCGATTGGAGTAGAATTATTTAACTTTTTAACAAATAACTAAAGAATCATCTTTTCAATTGAATAGATAAAAACATGCCTTTCGACCCACAAACACATGGGAAGTTTACTCAAAAAATAAATAAATGAAAATTCTAGCAATTTTTTGTAGAAATTAGCCGTTATTGGAGTCTCAAATTTATTGAGGAAAGAATTCAAATTTATTATATATTTTTTAAATTCTGCAACCGTCACAAAACAATTTGAAACACTTTTGACGGCGCTGTCACGATAAGAAAACACTCAACGAGTGGCCCACTGGTAATATATACAGCAGACATACGAACGACATACAGCGTTTCCATCCCAATTCCCAAAGTGAGTTTAAAGTGTGTCAAATGAAGGATCAATTTACCCGACTGTCTCTCTACTTTGAGCTCATCAGTTAATTTGCTTCACTCAGTGTTTTGAATATCCGGGTTTCTGGAAAAGCAGCAGATTCAAAATGTTAGACGGTTTGTTGGGTCGTGGATTCAGCTCCAAGTGGTCTGATCTCTTTGTTTGTTTATATACATGCTTGAGGTTTTTTATTATATATATATTTTTTCAATTTTTATCTTCAATTGGAGTGTAGTAAATCGATCATCAAAGCTACTCGGACGAGGATTGAATTGGTGCGACGGAGAGCGGAGGCTAAGCAGAGGTTTCTGAAAGAAGATCTGGCGAAATTGCTTTCTAATGGACTAGATATTAACGCCTATGGAAGGGTATGAATCTCGTTCTCTTTTTGGCTTCGTTCTTCGTCTTTTATTCTTATTGAAATTATTTGTGATTTGATACTAGTGGTTTCTTCTCGAGTTGGTTGTTATTATTTCAGTTGGCTGAGATTATAGAAAAGTTAATTATATCATCCTGTGAAATCACATCCTTGATATTCAATTCTGCGGGAATTTAGAGAAAAAAACAAAAAGTTACATTATTGGGTGTTTGGATGACCAATTTTCAGAGTGAGAAATTTGTGCAGGTATTACCAAGGAAATGAAGCTCATCCGTTTCTATTTCTTTCACTGACTATATGACAAAAAGATTCCATTGATGTAAGAGTTGAAACGGTTGAGTCCATAGCGTGCACTGTGTTGTTATTAAGTCAAAAAGTTAAGTAGGTTTTATTCAGTTACGGAAGCTATTGATTGTCAGTACATTGAAATTTTCCTTACTTCAGCTCTCTTCTGTTTCTTTCTCAAGTTCTTCATCATATGGTAAAACAACTTTGGATATTGTATTGCGATTTGATTCTACTTAAACATACAAGACTGTGATATGGGACTGGAATGCTCAGTCAACCTACTTGAGTACTTCATATAGATCCATTTCCTATTTAGTAACGAAAATTCTTCTGTATAATTTTTCCCCCCCCCTCTATATATGAGCAATTTGTCAGCATATACCTTGAATGTCATAGTTGCTTGTTTATCAATCCCTAAAAATCCACAATACCTATGGCAAATGTTTCACACTTGAAGGTATTCTTACCCCGGTGTTTATTGTTTTCCCCTGCAAAACAGACTGAAGAATTTATCGCTGGTCTTAGCCTCTTGTCATGCTATGATTTTATTGAGGAATCATGCGAATACGTTGTAAAGCAGCTTTCAAAAATGCAAAAGTTAGGGTATGATCCATTACATTTCAAAGTATCTAATGCAATTACTTGCACTTATGATTGAATATGATGATGTCGTATGTTTAGTGCACTATCCATGTGGGGCTTTCTGCTGTCTGCCATGCTCTATCTGCTTATATTGTTGATGACCCATTTAGGTATTGCTATCATATGCATCTTAGGGTCCGTTTGATTGCAAAGATGGAATTGAATTGAATTGAAAACGAATTTCAGGGAATTGAATTGTCTAGAAATTGTTTTGCTGATAATTGTAAATTATTGTACTTGATTGGTGTAATTTTTCACGTGGAAAATGTTGAAATTTTAAATCTTTTGATATTCGTTTGGTCTTGTTTTTCATGAAAATCGTCGTCAATTAAATGGATAATTTATTCTACAATTGTTGTTAGATTCTGTTTCCATTGCTGAAAATAAAAAGAAAAAAAAAAGAAAAACTGACCATTTCAAGGAAAAGGCACATGTGTGGGGGAAAATGTGGAAATCGAATTCCCTAGAAAATTTAGCAATTAAACACCACATTTTGGTGGAAAATGTGTCCAATCAAACCTGGCCTTAGTGGTGTATATCATGATTGGTTGAGGCTGAAAAGCATTGAATATCTTGTCAACGTAAACTGCAATCAATTCAAAGTACATGTGCAGGAAAGAATGCACAGATTGCAAAGATTCGTAATGTGGTATAAAAAATATAAGCTCAGTTTGTAGATATTTTTTTCTGGAAGTAGTCAGATACAGGACGTCACATAATCTAAATTAAGTATCCTGGGTTCCAGTCTACTGGACACAGTTTCCCATGGCTTAACTTTTTCCAATCTGACCTCGTGTGCTTTAATTATAATTTAGATGTTATAGCTTATAAACTTGTCAGAAACAACAAAGTGTGTATACAGATGACAAAATCTGAGATGCGAACTGATAAGAACAGAGCATCTGTGCTGCATGACAGTATTTTCTGCTTCATGAGATGATTAGTTGATAGAGAATACCATTGTATTATTTTTGTGTATTGTTGATCCAATAAATTTGGTTAAAAGTAACTTAATTGTATGCTCTCTTATGCTCATTTATTGTACTCATTTCTGGAACCCTTTTTCCATATGGAACTTTGCGAACCTAACTAAAACTACAGAAAGAGAAAAACATCGGAAACTTGTTATTGCTTTGAAGGGTGTCATATTCATGCAACAGAAGCTGGGAATAATTTGAATGGTAAATATGGTGGTTGTGTTGACCCAATATCTTGTTGATTGTGCTAAAACTGTCGATCTAGGTGCTGAACTCCTTCAATTGAAACATTACCCATAGGCAATGAATTGAAAATGTGTTGACTTCTGTATATGCACCATTGATGATTTTAATATCTCTGTTCTTGCTGAAACTTTCATTGAAGTGTCAAATTTGTACTTGGACCAGGGTTCCTTCATCAAGGGAATACATGCTCTAAGATTGCAGATAAAAATTATAAATCTCCCAGGGTGCACCTGTATCATCTTGTTTGTTTTATTTCTCACTGAACTTTTAAGTAGCTTAACTTCTAGTTATCTATAATAAAATGAACGTGTACAAATGATAAGTTTGAGATCTGAACTGATAAAAATATGGTTTCACCACTGCAAAATAAATTCACCTGATTCATCAGATGATAACAGAAAATACCATCATATTATTTGAGTACTTTTCATTCAGTGAACTCAGTTAATGTGACCCTCTAATGGTTAAAGGGAGAGAACACTTACACTATTCGTTTGCTCATTATGGAAATAATTCTGCTATCCTTTTTTTGTATCGAACTTCATATACCTACCAAAACTATAGAAAAAGAATAGCCTGGGCCTGCCTGGCAACTTATTGAATACCATAACAAGTCATAAAATGAATACTGGATGTTTTGTACCAGGATGTTTGTGTTTAACTTCCCAATTACAATAAGAAATTATGTGGGACACGTGTGTTGAAGAGTATTATTTAAACTCCATTTGGATTGAGTGGGAGGGAGGGAAGAATTGGTTACAAGGGAATGAAGGAGAATAATTGTATTAAAATAATAGCATTCATTCAACTGTGCAAGTGGAAAACTTTTAAAACCTACCCTTCGCTTACTATTGAAGCAAATGAAGCACTAATATAAGCTAAAAGTAGTAATGTAAGATTAAAGACAAGAGAGTGAGAATAGGAATTTTACATTTTTTGCACGGGACAGCTCCTCTACTCTATTTGTAATTTTGCAATTGCATTTTGAATTCCATCACGAATGTCCTCCAGCTTCTTTGGATCATGATCATATCATAAGCATATGATAGTTACATTCTTCTTAATAATTGGTTTCTTTGCAGGGAATGTCCAGAAGAATTTAGGGAGGCTGTGGCATCTCTGATGTTTGCAGCCGCAAGGTTCTCTGATCTGCCTGAATTGCGAGATCTCAGGGATACTTTTCAGGAGAGATATGGAAATTCTTTAGAGTGTTTTGTTAATCAGAAGGTAATGCTCCCATATACCATGCAAAAAAGATTTAACTAGCATTATAACCTTGTTTTAAAATCCAAATTGCTTGATTTTTGGTTCAGTTTATTGAGAAATTATCTACAAGGTCCCCCACAACAGAGAAGAGACTCCAGGTTTTGCAAGATATAGCTTCAGAGTTTTCAATAAAGTGGAATTGTAAGGGGTTTGAACAGAGAATGACTGCTTCTGCACTTGCACAGGTGTGTCTTTGAATCATGTTGACATTCTTTTAGCGAAATTGAACCCACTCCCTCTTTATGTCATCACTTTATGTTGTGGAGCATTTTTGCATACTTGGAGTAGATCTTTCGAAATTACTCAGTTGTTGAAACAACAGGAGTGGCAATTTGAACAAAGAATGGCTGCTCCTGCACTTGCACAGGTGTGTCATTGAATCATATTGATTTTATTTCAGATAAGAAAGTCTACCCATGTAACTTTAAATCTTCACTTCATGTTGTGGAACATTTTTGCATTCTTGGAGTAGATTTTTCAAAATTTCTTAGTTATTGAAACAAGAGGAGTGGTATTTATTAATTTGAATACAAGTAATCCACATATTTGAAAGTGTACGATTACTATGTTGAAATTTGGTTATGAGAATTGAGAGAATATTCAAATTGCAATTGACTGGAATACAACAGAAGAATGGTCCTAATGTTATCAGTGAAGATCTTTAGAAATTTTTTAGAAGTCGAAGTTGAATAGAAAGGAAGTTCTTAATATTTTTCTGTAAATGAATTTTCTTTAGTTCCTTGCCATGTAACAAATTATTCATTTGAGTATGAGACGGTCCTTGGGAATGGTTTCTTTCCATAGGCCTGTGCATTTTAATGTAGGATCCATTAGTTAGTGATAAGTGAAAAGAAAACCATTAATATTCACATGAAACTAGTCCTTTTAAATTATATTCTAACATTTTTTCCTGACTACACTAAGGTCAATGTGGAGATCGGCCAGTAGATCACCAGGTTTTAGCTTTCTATAACAGATCCATGTTCTATAATTTGCAGGTGACAATTTCAGAGAGGCATATCCCCAAACAGAGTCCTTTGTTTCTCGATGATGGAAACCAAACATGCAACCGGCGAGAGATTAATGTTGGGAAAAGAAATGAGTTAAATCATGTTGGTGGGCGGGAAAAAACTAGTTATTACAAACAGAAGTCACTTGTGAAGGGAGAAGATGGCACTTCAAGTGGAGGCCAAGGCGTTTTATTTCATGGAAGGCAAGGATTGTTAGAGGACAAACGTTTGGATCTAAATGGGAAAGATGATATTTTGCTGAAGGGAGTAAGCAAAAGCAGTCCATCCCCTCAAAATATGGTGGATAATATTGTTGGTGGCCACATTAGGCACAATGATGGTGTCAATACAAGAAAAGCAGGGACCATAGAAGCATTGTCTTGTAAAAAACCCGATGTTTCCACTAGTTGCACAGGATTTCTGGGAAAAACAGAAGATCTTATTGCTTCCCCTGATCATGTTAATGGAAAGAATTTGTTGAACTCGACAGGAAAAGCACGACTGGAAGAAACAGATCGGTTGAAATCCTGCTACAATAATCTCCCCCCTCCACCGTATATTAAATCAAAAGATAATTCCATTGTCCCTCTCCCTCCATATACTAAACCAAAAGAAGATAAACATGAAGCCATCAGAAGGTCTAAACATGGCGGTTCCAACTTCGATGGACATTTTTTTGGCTCTTCTCCTCACAATAGAATTAAATCAATCAACAGCTTGGGCAAAAGTGACGAGGAACCAAATCATCTTGATCGTGAAGGGAAAAGTCTTGGGCTCGTTCAAATAGAAAGTTATGGCAATGAAAAGAAGGCTGATTATTATAAGGATAATGCAATTCCCTTGCAGAAACAAAGGTCAAATCGGAGGAAACACCAGAAATCATCATCCAATCATGACAGCCTAGGTAATGTTGACAATTTCAGTAGTGCAAAGAGGAGTTCAAGTAGCAGGAGAAGGGACCATTCAAGAAAGGGGTTGCAGATCTTGTTTGATAACGAGCACGATAAAAACGATGAAGAGGAACAAGTGATAGATAGACTATTAATCCATTACAGCAAGAAACCATCGAGTTATGATGCCAGTAAATCGAAGAAAAAGTTACTATCTCATTCTTCGATGCGGAGATCAATTCAGAGAGCCATTGATGCTGGTGAATTATCGCTTGACCAGAGCAGAGATGGACAAGATATTGAATCAGAAATTGTTCCACTGCCTGCCAGATCGATTTCTCTTCCTCACAAAGAAAGTGGTTCGCTGCAGGTGAAGAAAGTGTTTGCTCGTGCCAATACTTTCCAGCCTGATAACCAGGCACGACATGTGCACCCAAAATTGCCTGATTACGATGATTTGGCCGCTAGGATTGCTGCCCTTAGAGGGCAATAAATTCCAGTAGCTAGTTTTGCTGGATAAACAGTTCAGGCTTCTTCACGTGTGGTCATGTTGTGCATTTTCTAGATTTAGTGAAAGAGAAGGGGGAATGTTATACAGTTGCCAGTTTATCAATAGAGACGATTCCCTGTATTGATCTGCTGGCAAATTAATGCTATTAATACTCCTGATACATGTATATCAGGTCTTAAGATGGGCTGGAAATTCCAAGCTCTGGTTAGAGCATAGATTTGCATGATCCTTGAAAGCTCAGAAAACTAAGGATGCATTAGAACTGCACATTTCTAGAGCTGGTGTTGTTTGCTTTAACTGATTGACAATGATACATGTTTGCTTATACTTCATATGGTTTAAGGTTGTAAAATTGTAACCAATTATGGATTATGCTATTCAATGTTGAACCTGGACCAATATTACTATTTGGCTGTCCTCGTCCTTCCTGTTTTAAGTGTATGTTTGGTATATATTATTAAGCAACTAGGCAGTATAAAAAATGACATTTAGCCCCTGTTTGGCCCCCTTTAATTCTCATCAATTTAAATTAAATTTTTCTCTTTCCTATTTTCAACCACACAATCTTCAATAAAATAATATTACACATAAATCGAAATTTTTTTATTCTTTTACAATCACTCATTGTTCAAAAAAACATTAAACAGGGTTTTAATATCAATTTTTCAGTGCTATGCAATTTTCCTTACCAAAAGCAGCTTACTGTAGGTAACGGCTAGAATATAGATTTAGGAAAGCAAAATTCATATATACCCTAAATTTTGGGAAGCACAAACGCAAGAATTTCATATATGTCTCTCATTGATTGACATTTTACCTTAGCAACTTTGTCTTCTTCCTTGGTATTGGATACCTGTAGCCCATGGGAGGCGGGAAGCACAAAATGTATTTGAAGGTTTCGACGAGAAAGATTCGCTTATTCAGATGCCATCTTTCATATTATGGTGTGAACAAACGCCCAGTGAGGAGAGCTCTCTTTGCGGAAGGAGTCCAAATGAGTTGTGGGAACCTGGGAGCCAACAATGGCACATCCTGCGATTTACCTCCCTGAGCAGCTGAGGGGCCGGAGGTTCAGGGACAAGGATCTAGTCGGACGCAAGCCCGGACACCTTGTAAAAAAAAAAAAAATAATAAATAAAATAGTTTTAAAATATAAATCAATGTTTTACTTTAGCCCCAGTTTGGTGTCCATTATTTCAAGGGGAAAAATAAAGTTTTGAATAGTACTTTTAGAAGAATGTGTAATTAAAAGAATATAACTCTTTGTACAAAATTTGGTTGACAAAATGGTATACTCACTATCACATGCATACGGGTCCTCCTTGCATAAAAAAAATTCGGTCATGTGTTCTCAACCATTCTATTGTGAGAGTGTGTAACACTTTTAGTACAAATGTATTTGTACATGTAGCACAATCTTAATTAAAAGTAAGAAAAATTTTATGTAAACATGTAGAATATTTTATTAAATGAATATATAGTTAAAATTGATCCTATAACAAAAAGAGTTTTTTGAAAAAATAGGCACCAAAGAGAGACTTTTCAATCGTCAATGTTACACTCCACATGGAAACTTCTTGTGTCAATCATGTCAGAATTTAACTATGATTTCAGTCAATTCAACAAATAAGGTCATGTTTGAGCAACATTTTTTCAAAAAAATATATTCTTAAGCAGTGATTTGATATCATTTCAATTATACATTGTTCAAAAACATAATACTACACGCAAATCCAAAAATTTTATTTATTTTTTAACTACACATTTTCTATCAATATATTATTAAAAAATGCATTCTAAGAAAAATGATGTGGCTCAAACACGGGCTGAATAAGAACGCCGTGACCTAATCGAAATAAAGTGTCATTATTAAAAGTTGAACAAATTGGAATTGAGCTTTTTTGCCCACTTTTGGGCTTGGGCAAACATGACTTTGATTGGTAAATAACTGGCTATGGGTTGTGATGTTTGACTTGTCAACTACATTCCCAGCCTAATATGAACTATGGAAGGAAAAATAGCAGTATAAGTCCCCAAAGTTTGACTTGTATTGCATCTTTGTTCCAAATTTGTAAAACATAGCATTTACATTATCAATCTTTTATTTTAACAGCATTTAAGTCCTTCAGCAAACAATTTGTAATGAGTATTATTCTTATCTTTAATTAAATAAAAATAAATGAAAAGAGTAGAAGGAATTCCCCACCCCACCAACTTGCTCATCAACGACAACTATCGCCAATTACTCTGATCTTGTCTTGGGTAAGTTAAAGAATTTATTTATTTTTATTTAAGTTTTTGTTCATATCTTTTTAATAAATTTTAGTTTTTGTTGACTAAAGGAAAAAGTAAGACTGTCCACTGTACTATATGAAAGATTGAGAATGTTAACACACTCTGTAATAAAGAATGGAGATCAAACTGCAATATGCATCAAAGTTTGATGAGCTATGCTGCAATTTTTCCTTCTAGAAAAGCAAAGAAATTCCTTTGGCATGCGACTCTTCCGCAGCCGGCCAAGTCAAAATTAATTTCGCGTTTTGACTCTTCCTATTTCCTTGCAATTGTTATATGAATAAATTTCAGAAATGGTCATTGAAGTTCAGGAAAAAATTGAAGTTGGTCATTAAAGTATTATTGACATATTTAGAGCATGTTTGGGAAGGATTATAATCGGATTTTAATCTAAATCAAACAATCAATATTAACCATATATTTTATGAGTTCCATAACTTTTCAACCACATAATTAAAAAACTTCTACCATAATCTACTAAAAGTCTAATTTTAATCCCCACCAAACTCCCTCTTAGTCTCTAAGAAAAAATAATGTCATACAATTTTTTTTATGTGGATAGTGTACTAACAACCGTTATATTGACCGATTCAATAACTAACCTCTTGGTTCAAATATATTACCTTTTTATTATTTATTAATGGTGAAAATTATGGTTGAAGTTAACTAGAGCAATTCAAGATTTTTTCAACTGGTGCTTCCACCATCCAAAGGACGGCATGTCCATCCTAATTTCAGATGCTAGCAGGGCCTCTAACCTTTGTCATTAGCATCCATATTGAATCTATGGCATCGCTTTCTGTCAAAACGCTACCCGCTCCCTATTTTAAAAAAAACTATAATCTAAATCCTGAAATTCACCCCGGAAGGTGTGATGTTCAGATTCGAGTTTTATTTTTTATCTGTAATTTCATGAGACACAACAATCCTTTATTGTTCTCAGTGTTTAATTGGAGACAACTGTGGAGTCGATGAAGCTGAAAAATGACTGATTGTCTAACAAAATTTAACTTTATTGACTAAATTTATGGAAAATATACTTTAATTACCAATTTGAAATTTCAATTGAACTTCAGCGACAATTTTAAAATTAACTCGTTGTTATAAATATTATTAAAACAGCGCGTCATTTCCTATGCATTTGACACTAACGTGCTCCGTTCCTGGAAGCTTCATTTCTCCTTTCTCACTCGCCGCCGTTGAACTCTTCAGCTATATATACCATTTGCGCCCCCCATTTCCTGTTCCATTCCGAATCTTTCATTTTCTTAGAATTCATACCATTGGTTTGAAAAATTGTTCTAAAAGTTTCGTTCCCTATACCGAATCTATAGCTTAATCGAAGATGAATTCAATGTCGAGCGCTAAATCGTTCAGCTTCTCCATTATTGGATTTATGCTGATGGCACTAATCCAATACAGTTTCGGACAAGGAATGGCGCCATCGCCGGCACCGATTGGTCCTTCCAACGATGGTGAGTATTTTCATCGGAAATTTATATCTCTATTATTAAAATAATTATTTTTGTGGTTTCAAAAACCAAAAAAATCTACAATCATCCTACAGATCCAAACTCAAATTTAGACTCAACTCCTGATGAGACATGTGTCAACGCAAACAAAATCACCCTATCATTTTCTGACTCCTCTCTTTTTAAGCGACTTTTTTCATCTTCCTATTCTCTTATTCTTATTTAAATTGTTAAAATCAGTAAAAATTTACCAAATAATTATTTGGTTTGTTTACGACAGCAATTAATTAAAATTCATTGATTTTTTATTTTTTTATTTTTATGTAGGCACAGCAATTGATCAAGGGATTGCATACGTTCTCCTGTTTGTAGCACTCGCGATTACATACATAGTCCACTAATGATATCATTTTTTTTCTGTTGAAATTGTATTGTTGTTGCAATTTTAATTCATTCTTTCATGTATTTTCTCCTATTATTTTGAGGGCATAAATTTAATTATTTTTATTTTTCATCACTTGTAAAGAAATATATTCATTAGAATAATGCACAGTGGATTGCAATCTCAATTTAGGCGGGGCTTAAATTGGTATTAGATGATTGATTAAATAAAAGATAAATTTAATCAATTAATGTCACGTTAACGTTATCTAAACTAGAGTTGCAACTCAATGACTCTAAATAGCATTATTCCAGAGATTCATTAACTTCCCCATAATATAAAGAAATGGATTGATTATTAGATTCTAAATGCAATGTACTAGAATGTTTATGAAAGAAAATAAGTTTGTCTCTATTCGATTTAATTAAAAATTTTGCCCCCGTTTGATTCCCATTTTTTGACCATAAAAATAAAAAATATTATCGTTATCTATCATATCAAGCCATCATATTTGACTTTTTATCTTTTGTATGGGTCTCGTAACGACTATATTTTTCATTATTATTCTTAGAAAAATAGTATCAAACGGGGTCTTTAAAACAAAATCTAAATCAAAGTTAATGATTAATTTTGATCATACATGTAATGAAATTCATGACTTTTATTAATTTTCAATCATATATTTCATCAACTTTTATAAATCTACAAATAATTTTAATTTTAGCAAAATCAAACAAGGCCTATATAATTTGGAATGAGTGCAATGTAACGATGAAGGATCCAATAGAAGCCCTTGTTTGATCTACATTATTTTCAAAATATATTTTTCGCTTTATTCTTTTCAACCGTACATTTTTCAATAAATAATATTATATATAAATTCAAAACATTTCTTTATTTTTCTAACAACACATTCTCAATCAATCTACTATTTTAAAATACATTTTTAACCAAAAAATGGGCTCAAACATGCTCTAAATTTTGATAAATATTGATGAAATGTATGATTGAAAATATGAGGATCTCATGAAATATATGGTTAAAATTAAGGCTTAATTTGACCATTATTTTTTAGGATTAAGGAGTTTTTGAATAGTAATTTTTTAAAGAATGTGTAGTTAAAAAATAAGAAAATATTTTGGATTTATAAAAAAAAAATTTACTACGAAAATAAGTGGTTGAATATGAGTATGAGAAAAAAGAATTTTGAAATAATGATTATTAAGCATGGGCTAGTTGTTGACTTTGATTTATATTAAATTTTATATTTTAATTCTCACCAAATAGGAGATAAATTGCAAATGAGAATTTTTGACGCACATAAGTGCCTTTCTTTTTTCTTTTTTCCTTTTTTTTTTTTTTTAAATCTATTTCACTTAACAAAATGCGGTCCTTTGCGATAATAGCTAGACATGAAAGATTGCTGCAAAGTAAGATTTTTAACATGCACCATTTGTGCAGATTAAGCATGGCAGATAAAATTTCTATTTAGGTTTTGTAATTAGTTCACCAAAACCTTGTCAAGAGAATGGAGCGAGCAAACTATAGAAAAAATACATCAAAGAACAGAAAAATAAATGTCTTTCACGATTAACAAACAAAAATGCATCCTTAAATAGCGCATTTCAGTAAAATACACTCTGAAATGCTTTGAGGATTGTCCTCGCTCCAAAATGCCTACACATGCATAAGAATTGCAGAAGTTAGTATAGAATATTCAAATTCGGCTTTGCTTATTCTTATCAACTGGTCAAGGCAATACTTTCATAAATATGGGTCATCACACACATTTCTTTAGCTATCTTCTTCAATTATACTTTTCGAGCACAAGCCAAGTGATCACGAATCTTCTTGGTGATTAAATCGTTCGCTATATGTCACAACACCAAGGGGCTGAAGCTTCTAATGAAAGCAGCTGCTCATTTAGGGAATTTTCACACAAATGGAGAGCTTTTAACCATGAATGAGGTGGCTAATGTGATTTGGAACCACTTTTTCTCTTCCATTTTTGTCGTTAATAACCATATCAAACTCTTACAAAAGAAGTATGCACGTCATGAGTGTCTTATATGAAGACAGTCATGTTTTGACGGTGTAGAATGTTGCTTGGCCAAAGGCAGCTAATACGACATCATTCGGGCATGTCAAGAATCGTATGAAGGTTGTGAATGACCAATAGAGGATTCGTCACTATTAGATAGTAAAATATTATGGTTTGCATTTCATTTAATTAAGTCGATAACGAAATCATTGGTCAAAGTATACTCATAAGTCAAAAAGGAGTTTTCGACTCATATTGACTTAATGGTGGTATGAAAGATATGATTGATAATCAAGATTGACACACTTCCATATCTCGTAATTGATCGGATCATATTGACGAAGGGATTATAGTTTCACAGTAAATGAACGAATTTGATTTTGTCATATCACATGACATTTTCTGTCACGTGTATTGTCCTGATACATTGCTAAATGTCAATTTAGGACGGCGAGTGTGGATTGATGATAAATTAAAAATGTGTTTTAATTTATCAATTTTGATTAGATCAAAATAATATTTCACGTCGTCAGGTATCGTGATCGGAAACCTGATGGGTTGCACACAAAAGGAGAGCTGGAAGATTGTGATTTGTCAATTAATTAATTTAACAAATGTTTAATAAATAAATTAATTGGATTGTTTATTTATAGGCTTGAATTAAATAATTGGATTAATTAATTTACGGATCGGATTTAACTAAATGGGTTAATTAAATATTTGACTGGGTCAGGCGAAACCCATTCGGACTTATATAAATATGACTAGAGTTTTCAAAATCTGTAGAGAATTCATTATTCTTGCTAGCACAAGAGGAGAAAATCATAATCCTGCAATCTTATTCTCTATGTGGATCATCGTTAGGGTTGGACAATTCGACATCTATGGTTGACAGATCGAAGTTGCTGGATCAAGAAGAAAAACAAAAGATTTGCAGAATTTTCAAAAGTATAATTTTCTATCACAACTTCTATCTAAACACAGAAGGATCCTTAGTGAGAATTGAAAAATTGTTTTATTTTCACTGCGCATGATAAGTAGATTCCTAACAAAGTGAAATAACATCTTATCCATAGAAAATGCATAAAAGTTAGGGTTTTCTTTCTTCAAATTCTCCTTTTTAATTTAAGCTTAAAAAAGAGAAGAACAAGACTTCGTGAGGTTTATTTTTCAATTTTTCAAGGAAATGAAATGATCACTATTTGTTTATCATTCTTCAGAAACTCTCATTTCCAACTATACATTCTCACAATGGAATATTTTACATATAAACTCTATACTTTTCTGCCTACTTTTTAATCATACATTTTCCTAAAAAATTATTATTTCAAAACTCATTTTCTTCAAAATTCTACTTTGAATTAGATCAAAAAGGGGAAATATGTGAAATATACATTTTGGATAAGTAACTTTTCATCTAACGCTCCATAGACCAAGGTGTCTTCTGTCAATGCTATCATTTTATTAATTTCAGTGTATGAGTGGCTTACACAACTTAAGAATATATTTCAGAGCTATATTTTACATTAAGTACCTGTTTGGTTGCCTGAAAATGGATTAAAATTTAATACAAAATCAGTACGTAATTTTAACCACACATTTTTGTGAGATTCACAACTATTCAATAACACATTCTGTCAATTTTTAGGGAGTCCCTATTTTCATTCCTCTTTTTTTATGTATCTATCCACTTTATAAAAATGAATATTAAATTTTTTATATTATGCAAATTTACTTACGCAAAAAGTGCAAACCGTAAGTGCACGGTTCGTGCTCAAGTAATAAAGTCAACTTTTTGAGTCCAAGTTGTCGATATCTTGATGAATGTTACCTTGGATCACACAATTTTAATTAATTTAATTCTAATAATGGAAACAAACACAATCAATATTTTAATTTTGATTTTGCAAATAAGGAAAATTAACTAAAAAAATTAATAATAATAATAAACACTTCGAAATTTTGGAGGAAAATGTGGTGGGATTCATTTTTTTGTTTAACCGTCGTCTAATTAATTTCTCCACAAATCAATTAACAAATTACTCAATTACGATGTTAAACCCGTTTTTTCAAATTTAGTTAATCACCTCTCTCAAACGAAATTAATTCTAATTCATTGGTTTAACTTATTATATCCCTATATTAATTAAAACCAAACAACCACATTAAGGGTCCGCTTGGTGGTAATTTTGAGAATTGATTTTTTGACTGTTAGGGAGAAAAGTGAGGGCCACATGTGAGTGAAGAATTCAAAAATGACGGTTGAAATAATGAAATAACGTCAAAAAATCAAATTTTGAGGTAAAAAATCACTACCAAACGAAGCCTAGATCTTTGTGAAAATAGTTTAATGGATCACCTATGACTAATGGTAAATCTCCATCCCCTATAAGAACCTATGATTTCTACCATTTAATCAGATGAACGTGAAGTGGTATTCTGATTAGAATCTTGACTCCTAAAAGAGATGGTAAATGGTAACAATAAGGTGAATGGCTTTTATTTATTTTTCACTAAGACATGTTTCCCTCAGGTGCCACCTCTATGTGGCCGAAAGATGCAATTCCTTATTCATCATCTGTTGGAAACCAACATAACTGCAATTCCTTTCCATCATCGCTTGTTGTGCTTGAGACCCCATTAGGCCGTCATTTATGCTTCTTTAATATTTTTCACTAGTACAGACACCAATATATGTTACTCTGGTCCTCACCTAGAAGACCAAACCATAATAAGAGAGATGTACACTAAAATTATTACGGCAACTTTTTGTGCGCTTGATAGCTTGAGGAGGAGAGCAGGGGTTGAATTGTACTTGTCTTCCATTAGCTTGGATTGGAAAATGTTGAATCATTACAGAATGGGAATATGAAGTGAATCTCTTAGCGATGTTGGTAGAGTTCAATTTTGATTAGAGGTGTTGGCGTGAGCAATCACTCTGTCCTATTATTTCTTGGGATGAGTCATCAACTATTTACCTATATTTCTTTTAACTATGAATGGAACTAGATTCCTTGTAGGCACAGTGTACAGGCAGCTCTTGTTTTCTAACCTGTTGGAGCATAGCTCGGGATTTACCTCCCTCACAAAACTCTAGGGGTGAGACAGTGGGG